GTTTTCTCTGCTTGTCCCTTATTATTTTAATATTAGCCAGGTGACTGACCACCCCAGCTAATAAGTTTGAAGCTAAGACTAAACTTAACAGGTTAAGTTGAAATAATCAAACAAATGAAGTTAATCTTAAAGTGATGAAGGCTGAGTAAAGGTAAATTTAGCCCACAGTGCAAAGTGTTGCTGCTGACAGTTGAATGCTTCTTGTTGAGTGCTCCTTTATAATGGTTGGAAAAATACACCATTCAGAAGTTAGCATTAAGTTACAATAAAAATATTACTTCTGAATGAATGTTAAGCTTTTATCCATAACCTGGAGTTATTGCCGTCTCTGGAAACTGTTCTTAGATCAAGTGTTTTCTTTCACACAGCTTTCTTCTTGACTCTTTCTGTGCCCTTTCGTTTATAAAGTTACGTTTCAGTTCTGAACTTCCCACATGCAGATACTCTTAAGGCCTTGATGGTCTTTGTTGCAAAAGTTGCAAGCTCACTGGATGCCTTACAACAATGGGTCATTTCATTTTGACCTAACAGAGTTGACAAATGGCAAATTCGAGGGGCTTTGAATAACAGGCTCATACAGTTCTGTTATTGTTAGCAGCGAAGTAATTTTGCAGTGGCCTTGGTTAACCAGTGCACTTTGTTAACACAGATTTATACTTGAGCATTATACAATATATCACTTTACGATACTGAGGTACATACAAGTACTGAGGTAGAGGTCAATTAGTAAAAAACAACAAAACAAAGTACTGCAGTTAAGGATTCTTGAATTTGAATTGACCACATTACTGTTCTTCCTCTTTCCCTCGCAGTATCTCTGTGGATGCTGCTGACTCCTGAGTGCCCACAGAAGCATTGTCACTTATTTCAAAGTAGCTCACTGACATATATTTCTGCTTATTTTGTTACATGATGGCACAAAGGTAGAGCGGTAATTTTCCCAGTACTGCTCTATGAGATAAATGCTAAATAATTAAATAGGTGTGTATGTTGTGTGTTGAGTGCTGATTAGACA